AAATATGACAGTAAAATAAACATGCATATATTACCTTTCTACCCTTCAAGATTTTGAGGTTGGTGAGATTTTTAAATGTTTTTGAGTCTCTTATGCATTCAAATAACAAAAATGCTTATATTGTGAAACGTTATTCCAATTTAAAATAACTATTTTCTATTTTGATTTCTATTTTTAAATGTATTTTATTCCTGTGATGCAAAGCTGAATTTTGGATCTTCAGGATCACATGATGATCCTTCAGAAACCATTCTAATATGCTGATTTGCTGCTCTAGACACATTTCATTATTATCCAAGTTGAAAACAGTTGCTGCTTAATATTTTTGTGGAAAGTTGAAAGTCAGTAATATATATACGCCACGTCCAATTTTTTGACTGCTATTGTTTAAGTACAATAATACAAAACTGTGAAACAGTTCTTAGATCATTGGCCATCACATTACAAGCATGTTATAATCAGCATGTGTCAGTGGGGAACACATCATACTCACTGGAAATGGCCAAGGGCTGTGGCAACCTGAGGCTGTGGATGATACAAATAGGAAAAAGGCGTTCCATCCGAGTGCACCTGCAACAGGGAAGCTGGGACAATGTAGCCACATTTCTGATGCAACACACAAATAGATTAGGACTAGATATATTCTTAATTTGGTTAGTCCCACAGAAAGCATTAATCATATCATTTTATGCAAGTGAGCCAAACTGCCCAGCTCGGACAAAGCAAAATATCATTAATATCATTTATACTCACTTTCCTGGCTTTGGTGGGTGGAGACGCCGAGAGCTTTGGCCCGGCGGGTGGAGACGCTAGGGGCCTCTGTTCAGAGGGTGGGGCTGTATTATGGACAAGCCATAAGGGAGGACTCCGCGCATGCTCTTCGTCTTGCTCCTGACTGGGGTCTCTGAAAGATTTATCGCTCGAGTGGGACGGACTAAACTGGGTCGGTTTCGGTCTCTGACTGAGTGTAAAGCCGTCCACCGACACCCCTCCAGAGATCTGCTTTGAGAACTGGGCTTGGGTGCTTGTTGCTACAGGCAATGGGGGGACTTCCTTTAAAAGCGATTGACTTTCTTGTTCTGGGTCTGTATCAGCACAAAAATGATTGAAATGCTTAGTGCACAATTACAATGACGCCCTGTTATTGTAATAAATATATGCTTAAACAGGAAATTACCATTTGAGTCTGAGGTGGAACGTCTACCTAATAGAGCCGGCTCTTGTGCGAACATATCCCATGGGCTCTCCCCATCCCCAGACAGCTCCCCCGTTCCACACAAAACCTCTGGGAGACAGAGAGATGGGTTTAATAACACGTCTACTTGGAACAGCACTGACGTTCTGTTGTAAAATCTCACCTGGTCTTGTGTGTACCAGAGTAGATGGCCCTTCATCTGGACATGAGACACTTAAACCGTCCTGAGTGGCCATTGTTTGGTTTGCACTCGACGCGCTGGTTGGATGCGATTCTTCAGGGGGCGGGGCTAAGTCATTTGGCGTCTCGCTTTCTCTGTCTGCACCTGCGCACACTGATGTGCACGAGACAAAAACACATATGCACAGGGCGCCACATGCACGTTGAAATCTGGTTGAATGCCCAAAGGGTTGTCATGAAAAAAGCAATTAATTAGACAGCAGACAGTACTGGGATCAGCTGTCATCAGCTCCCTCTGTTCCTCCGGGATGAGAAGAAAAGGCACGCGGGGACAATGAACTGCTCCTGTCCCTGGAAAAAACACACACACACACACACCCATACGCAATGATAATTTGTCTGGTCAACAGCTGGTGCCTTTAAGTTGCCAAGGAAGCAGCTTTACCCTCCAGTGAAGCCTCTCTCTGTGCCAGTGAGTTGGTGTCGCCACACTTGGACAATATGTTGCAGACATGGTTATTTTCTCCGTTGCATCATTCAGAATATTTATTATAATGTCATTGTGCCACACGTCCAACAGAGACGAGAGCGAGACCCCTGGGAAATTAGGTACACAACGCACATCTTTATCATTTCTGTGTCTTCGCTTTATAAATGACATTACGAATCCAAATTACAGGCATTCAATACAAAAGGTGTGTGTACATGCAAGCTTTACAAAGAAACACAAAGCGAAAGAGTGTGTGTGATACTTACCAGAGGCTGAACTTACTGAACCCTCCCTGCGGGATCTGACAGAGAGCAATACAATTAACACTAACTGTTCAACACATCATCTTAAAAACACGCTACAGTTCTCTGTGTGATGTACACGTTCACACAAACTATAAATAAGGTCAACGCACCTCCATGTCTTTATGATCTGATCTCTGACTGATGAGAGAGTTGTGCTGAAAGATAATTCGATTAACAAAGATGAACTGTTATTGATTTAGTGCGATTAGGAAACATCACTTGGCACGCTTAGTAGAGAGATCAATGACTTGCCAGCTGGGGGGGTGGTGGTGCTTTGAGGCGATGCATATGATGTTCATTTGATTGACTTTCAAGTAAAGCACACAAGATGCCTGAAAAAAACAAGCAAACAAAGCAAACATGTACTTAAAAGTGCAATGGTAAATCGTCAATAGTGTAGCTGTGTATGAAGCACAGCTCACACAGAAGTCATTTTTAAACCAAGAAGCTATCTGTTGGTCAATAAGGTAAATCTGTTTGACTAGTTTGAAACCATTGAGAAATCTGAATTCCCAACTAGGCATATTTCCACTGAAATGACTACACTTCACCTGCGAACATTCGCCTTATCACAGTGTTTTTCAACTCCCAGAGGCAGTGGTTTTCAAACTTTTTGACTCCAAAGCTAAAGAATTTAAGAGGAGAAATTTTTACAAATATTTTAAAATCTAAATTTTTACCCAATAAAATATTATATTGTTTGTTTTTGCACTTTGCAACTTTTTCTGGATAGTGCACTACAGAGTAGGCAGGAAGTAATATGAAACATGGAAAAAAGAGGTGAGACCATGAGCCAAGACTCCTAAAAGCCTGAAACACAACTGTGATTGAAGATTAATTATTAAATTTAATTTAAAGTTAAATTTACATGAGTTTTCTAAACCAAACAAGCCTAAAAACTGTTAAACGAAAATATATTAAACTCTTTTCAACCAGATATACCGCCATGAAGCTGAAATTCAGCTAAATACTTTATAATCTCCCCCACAAAGAATTAAGTTCAATTAAAATAGAAATGATTTTAACATTTTTGCAACATAAGCAAAATTACAATAAGCATCAATAGGGCGCAATATTAACATTTAGGTCACTGTATGAATTATAGGTCATACTTATGCGCTTCACTTTGTCAGACAGGTTCTATTTAAGTGATTTCTTGATTCAACAGGTCTGGCAGTAATCAGGCCTGGGTGTGGCTAGTGAAATTTAACTCAGCTTTCTAAAATAATGTGGTTAATCACAGTTCTTTCATGATTTAACAGGAGGGGGCAATTAATTTTTCACGTAGGGCCACGTACGTTTGGACAGCTTTTTTCCCTTAATAAATGAAATCATCATTTAAAAACTGCATTTTGTATTTACTTGCATTATCTTTGTGTAATATTTAAATTTGTTTGATGATCTGAAACATTAAAGTGTGACAAACATGCAAAAAAAAAAGAAATCAGGAAGGGGGCAAAAACTTTTTCACACCACTGTATACCAGGGTGACCTTGCTCTGTCTCTATACGATGGCATGACTTTTTTCGAGTAGTAATGCATCAGCACTAAAACGAAAAATGTTGAGAGGCTGGGATGAAAAAATTGCATACATATAACATACCAGATCAGGGTTCATGTCGAACTTCAGTTCAAAGCTGCGTACATATACTATAGCATTGTGCAGGCCTGTAAAAGAGTCCATCTCCTCCATGCTGAAGAAACAGAAGACAAAACTCTGACACAGTCATGTTTGAGTTTGATTGAATTACTGTCATTACACTAAAACTGAAAGTAGTGTTCTCTGAAATTCACTCATGCAAGTGCAAAATTCAAGGCAACAGTTGCTGCCAGGCAGAAGATCAGAGCCCTTGTAACAGCTAGATTGTGCTTATTTCAGCACGATTTTCACTGTGCCCGATTATCCAGATGAGTTAGATAAAAACAGGGGCGCAGGTGTGTAGTGAGTGGTGTCATAACAGAGCATTAATAGGTCCCTCACTCCTGCAGACACTCCCACGCGGCGTCGCTCAGCACCGCGGGAATGACAGCGCTCCCATCGGACATGAACAGCATACAGGCATCTGTGTGCTCCATCCGCTGCGAGTCTGAGATATCACACACCTGACACACACACACACACACACACACACACACACACACACACACACACACACACACACACACAAACACAAACACACAAACACGCGCGCGCTTCAGTACTCACGCGACACTCCACATAGGTGATCGCATACATTTGCTATTACTTACGCCGACCACGTTGGCTTTTACAGTCGTTTCACACTGGCTTTGGCCGTAGTTTTGGACGAGTTTCTCGATCCACGGCTCCAGCTCAGCCATTCGGCGACGCTTTATCTTTGGTGGATTCATGATGTGTAACTTATCTGTTACTGTCCACCAGTGTAAACACAAACGAGCTCATCAAAGTCTTCGCGCCTCCTTATTGAGACACTCCACATAGGTGATCGCATACATTTGCTATTACTTACGCCGACCACGTTGGCTTTTACAGTCGTTTCACACTGGCTTTGGCCGTAGTTTTGGACGAGTTTCTCGATCCACGGCTCCAGCTCAGCCATTCGGCGACGCTTTATCTTTGGTGGATTCATGATGTGTAACTTATCTGTTACTGTCCACCAGTGTAAACACAAACGAGCTCATCAAAGTCTTCGCGCCTCCTTATTGAACATTGATGCTTTCTTTTGGTTCCGTGTAGAAAACTACACCGGGCGATTTGAGTTCCGTTATAATCACAAACGTTTGAATCGTTGACGCCCCCTTGCGGTAGCAATGATCATTAAAAAAACTGAGATAAGTACATTTTTGGGTACTGTTGTTTATTATTTTTAGTAAGGTACAATACAACTTATAAAAAGTAAAAATGCCAAAAATAATTCTCTTTATAACATGAACATGCCCTTTCCCAAAGTGTAAACCTACAACAAAACCTTTACCTTCACTGATTGCATGAAATGTAATGGGGAGAAATGATTTGTTGTATAAAAAGTCACTCTTACAAATAAACATTGTTTTCTTATTTAAAAAAACAACAACTAATAAATCACAGTGATTAAAACTCGACCTATGAGAGAAAACACGCACACAGCAATATCATTGTAAAAACTGCAACAAAAGTTGCTTGTAAAACATTAAAGCTTTCTTAAACATTCCATAAAACCATTCAATCACATTCCACACCTCTTGTCATTATGGTTTCACCTGTAAATAAAAATAGAAACAAGTGAGACTGAGACTTCACAAACTGTCAGCATGATCATGAATACAAGTTGCCAACTTAAAAACTGCACATGAACAATTTCTTTTTTACAGCTACCTTGTTAGCTGTTGCAGTTTTGTATTAAATACATGAGAATGAAACTGGAGGACTATGTTACCTATAATATGCAGACAATATATAGGAGTAGTCACGTAAATATTGGAATATGTGTTACCTGCAAATTCAGTGATTCATTCAGACTTCCACCCATCTTCTGTAAGCTCTCATGAAGCCCAGCTTTCAGAAGTGTGTAATCTGGTTTCTCAGTATACTGCAGGCTCATCACATTAGACAGGTATTTTTGTAATGCACCTAAATTACAAAAAAAATATTACATACGCATCTTCGCTAGCACTAAGCACATGAAGTGAGAATAGAAACAAGCATGCCCACCTGAAGCTTTCTTCTGTTTGTAATAGCCACTCAAAAGTCCAGTGATATCAGAAATATACCTGTAGGCAGGCAGAAAACATATTCAACATAAAAGCACATAACTGTAGCCTTACCTCTGAAAAGTGGTATGTTTTAATTCTTGAAAATATTACATCCAGTAGCGATGTTCCTTTATGATTCTAAATGCATATGGTATGATGACGTAGTCAGATAGCAGTCGCTTGTATTTCAATGAAAATCTGTTCATGTACTTTCAGCCAATGAAAGCTCATGATGGGCTAGCAACCTTCATTTCTTAATTAATCAATAAGATTAATTACAAGAACATTACAAGCAATTTATCATAAAAGAGCCAACAATATCTGCAGCACTGCAAAAAGCAAGTTTCAAAAGTAAGCAATAGACGCAGTACACAAGCTAGGGTGGAAATAAAAATTATTTATTCTTTATTAGAAAAAAATATTTGTATATTTTATTTAAAAAAAAAAAACTATTTGTAAGAAATGCCTTTATAGATTATGTTCAGCTCTCTTCAAATTGGACTCCAAGAAGGACCCTCAAGGGGGTACTAGGGGGTCCACGGACAATTTGCAAAAAAACCCCCGTAAAATGTAAAAGTTTTTTACAATTCTGTGTTTTATAAACTATTATCTTAATGTATTCAATTAAAATTTTTCAGATATTATAATTTTTTTATTTTAAAATAAATTTTACTTTATTATTCAAATTTTATTCAGACCAATTATTCAAGTTTTTAAAAATAACTCAAAGTATTAAAGGGGTCATATGATGCGATTTCAATTGTTCCTTTCTCTTTGGAGTGTTACAAGCTCTTGGTGCATAAAGAAGATCTGTAAGATCTGTCATTTCTCCGATCACAAATGCAGACAGAGTTTTATGTTTACGCGGCGCGATGCAATGCAACACAACGCATAAAAAGACAGTATAGGTCATTATAATCAGTAATTATGTCTCCACTGGATGCAACAAATGCCTCGTTTGTAATGGGTTTTAATGTTTTTGTCTCGTGGCTCCGGCCGGACACGGCATCAACAGTATGGTGAGGGATGTAACATTTCCGTCACACGCTTGATGTATTCGGCCAATCACAACGCACTGGATAGCTGGCCAATCAGAGCACACCTCGCTTTTTCAGACTGATGAGCTTTGTAAAAATCGACGTGTTTCAAAAAGGCGGGGCATAGAGGAGAAACAATAATGTACAGTATGTGGAAAATAATGTTTTTTTGAACTTTAAACCGCATAAACATTTCATTACACCAAATAATGTTATTTTTAGCAGCATCATATGACCCCTTTAACAAGCCTTAAAATATATAGTTCCCTTTATAGTTTAACAAGGTGGTCCATCATATTTAGGGGTCCTTAGTATCAACAAAACATTTTGCTCACAGTAAAGGTTTGTTTCTTGAAGGTTACCAGTTACCACCACTAAGCTTTAACAACTATACCACACTACTCCTGGTAGTAAGTATATGATAAGCCACTATGTTATTATTATGTTATGTTACTGTGTTACAAGAACTAGTCTGACCACATAGCAGTTAGCCAAGGGGTTATCAGTCTTACTTTCTGGATTCAAATTTACCTTCTTATGTAACTGACTTAAAGTTGTGACCAGTCTTGAAAAAAAAAATGTGATGACTAACTTGTAAGGCTTGTTTAAGCAGTTTATGCAACCGGTCTCTCTTGAATATATGCCTGATGAAGATGTTTTTGTGGTTTCACTGACCTCTCCTTCTCTGCAGCAATGGCCGAGCTTGTTTGAGAGAGCTGACTCCAGGGTAGTGAGCCTGTCATCCAATACAGCATACAGTAACCCAGAGACTGCAGGTCACTACGACGAGAGGGGCCTGCAAAACACCCATAGACCATAGTAAATTAGACTTGCTTTCGTACATGGATAAAGTAAGTAATGCAATGAACATGTGATGCTCACCAGCTCCCTTGTGAGAATCCACACTGATAAAGTTGATGTTACCCTGGTGTGCAGTGCGGCTACCCTGTCTGTACTCTACATGCTTTCCACCAGGGCAAAACCTAAATGCATGACCAAAGCCTGACAAGAAAACCTACCAAATGAACAAACAAAAGCTTTAATACTTAAGTAATATATAGAGTATATATGTTCAGTTCATAAGGGTCATGCTTATTGACCTCTGTGTGACTGTTAGTGTTGATGTAAATATTTCCAGCATGGATGTCTGCATGGGCATATTCCTTCTCGTGGATGAATTCCAGTGCATCCAACTACAAAACACATACACACACATACTATATATATATACATCCTTTTCATAGAGAATGGCATGGCTAGGGAAATAGAAACAAATCTGAACGTTGTTTAATAGCACACTCACTAGTCGCAGTGCAAGCTGGAGCACAGCTTTCTCAGATAGAAAATCGTTCCCTTCATCCATGACTGTCTGTAGAGTTTGACCCATGCTAGGAAAAACTAAAAACCTGCAGGGAAGTGAATATGAATATGGTTATGATTAGATTCCACAGTGAACTCATTGAACTGTTTTTATCTTTACACACAATCATAAAATGTGGTCATGATGCAAGATTATGAAAATCAGTGAAATGCAAATCAATGATCAAAGACGTCAGTGTACACAATCACAAAGACTAACATTATTACAGATGAGATGTGGAAAAATGTATGTAAATACATTCCACCATTTCCCAATTGCAAAATGACTTGCTGTTGGCTATAAGACTATGATAAATATAAAATATATTGGCTTCAAAAGCCATTTTTGTAATGTCAATATAATTATTGTAACGTCTCATCTCGAATGTCTTGAGGCTTTTCTCACTGTGTATTGACATCTATGATTATATGTGCACTGCCATTCAAAACTATAAGGTCAGTAAAATGTTTTAAATGCTTTTGAAAAAAGCCTCTTATGACTAACAGGTCTGCTTTTATTTGATCAAAAAAAAAATATTATAAATTATATATACACACACACACACACACAGTAAAACAGTAATATTGTAAAATATTATGAGAATTTAAAACTGTTCTCTAGTTTTATATATATTTTTAATTATTCCTGTGATGGCAAAGTTGAATTTTCAGCAGCCATTACTCCACAATCCTTCAGAAATCACTCTAAAATACTGATTTAGTGCTCAAAAAACATTTCATATTGTCAATGTTGAAAACAGCTGTGCTGCTTAATATTTGGGGAAATATTTTCAGGATTTGCTGAATAAAAGTATTATTTCCAAACATTTGAACAGAAGTGTATAATAGGCTATAAAAGTTTCCGAACATAAGGATATAAACCCAATACCTATATGCTTCATGAAGACCGAACCCTACACAGGATGGAATCCCAAGGAAGTCCAATTTGTGCAGTTTCAACCATTTCTCCACTATTGACAAAGAAAAAGAAAGTTGTGGTTATAAGCCTGTAGTTGCACTAAGCTGGGTCATTATGTATCCATTACAAGTGCTAAAATGACTGACCTGCATCAGTTTTGGCTGCTCTCAGATGGAAGTTCTGCTCATTAAACAGGTGTCCCTCTTTAGCCCCCTGAGAAAGAGAACACAAAGTCATCAAGACCTTCTTCCCAAACACGTGTACACAGACACTACATTGTGTGAACACAGCACTCACCAGTCGCAACATGTACTTGCAATCATTTGAGTCTGCGTGCTGATTTGCCTGGCAGACTAGATTAGATAGACAATATTTAGATTCATAAGCCACCTTTAATGCATTGCTGTTATTATTATTTTAACCATCTGACAAAAAAAATTATAAAAGGATTTAAAGTACATAGATGGATGCATTCACTCATCTCATTAATCAAGGGTAAGATGGTTATTGACATACGCCTTACCTGCATATGTCAGATCTAATTCTGTTTGCCACAGAAGTTCAACCAGCTTCCACTTTTTGCTGGACTGGTCACAAACCACTGTACCCTCTGGGACAGGCTCAACAGCGCACACTCGCTTCCTGGCTTTGCATTTGACTAAAACCCCACAAAATAACAACATTTAGCTATTTTTGCCATTTAGTATGAAACAAAATAAAGAAATGTGTTGCAATCACTTTTAGATATCATGAAACATTTTTTTTTCAATATATATTAAGCAGTCTGTCCTCTAGAAAGTGCATCTTACATGAGCTTTGAATAACTGAAGATGTTTGCTTCGCCTCCTCATCTTTAACCTGGGGGGAAGCCTTCTGTTTTCGAGGTGACATCGAAGATGTCTTATCTGAAATAATGCAGCACACAAAACATTTCAGGACAAACTATTAAAAATCTACTAAATATGTATTTATTTGTAAACGTGTGCAAAAATGATTGCATTTGTAATGATTTGGTCATATTTGCAATTTATATGACTATATGACTGAGCAGGAAAATCTACTTTATCTATAGCTGAAAAAAGATAACACATCTAAATTTGAAGATAATATAGTTTCCCAGTACACAATATCTTACCTGGAGTTTGAAATGTAGCCAAAAAAGTTTGATTCACCTCCTCTTGTTCTTTAACCTGGGGGGATGCCTTTCTTTTTCGTGGAGATTTCAGTGACTTCTTATCTGAAACAAAGCAGAGGTTTTTCACATAAAATCCTTCAGCAGTCAATGTTAGAACACTGTTGATTTGCATTTAGAAGAACATTTCTATATGTAATAATGTAACCTTTCTTGATGTCTATTCAAAACAACAGGAGCATCTAACTACCTTCAGCTATAATAAAACATGCTATTTTTTTAAAGATAATGTCTAGTGTTTCACATTATAGTGTGTCTGCCTGGGATTTGAGTTATTATAGCAGACTTCTTCCTCCTCCTCGTTAACCAGAGGGGATGCTTTTCGTTTTCGAGAAGATGGCAAAGACTTCTGATCTGAAATTTAGCCATCATCTTTCACACAAATTCTATCATGTCTACAAAGCCTTTGTTTCTACACTAGAAACACACAACACACTTAGACTCACCTAATGAGTCTGTGGCTGTGCTACTCAAGGTCTTCTGCCGTGTTGAGAACAAAGGTGGGCGATTCAGTGCAGATTGTGAGGAGTCTCCAGCAGGATCGACTACAAAAAGAATGTGGTTTACTGTGGTTTTGTCAATACTCATTTATAAAGAAGCAACTGAGGTCCGAATGAAAGCTCAGTCAGATTGCATATACACAGATTTACAAGTATTTTGCACATACTACCATTCAAACGTTTGGGGTGGGAAGATTTTTTTTCATGTTGTCGAAAGAAGTCTCTAAAGCTCACCAAGGCTGTATTTGATTGATGAACTACAACTACAATAAAAACGTAGTACTGTGTAAAATGTCATTTATTCCTGTGATTGTAAAGCTGAATTTTTAGCAACCATACTTCAGTCTTCAGCCACAGGATCCTTCAGAAATTATTCTAATATGCTGATTTGGTGCTCAAAAAAAATTTCTTATTATTATCAATATTAAAAACAGTTGAGAGCATTCATGGGATTTACGGGAAGAACAAAAATATTTTATCTCAGATTATTTTAAACAAATATGACTGGTTTATGTCTGGGTAACCAATACCACAACGATGCACTGCATAGCTACTACATATTCAATCAGTGAGTTAAATGCTGATATTATATTAAGTCCATTTTGAAAGCTGCTACAGCTGGGACTGAGTAGGGAGATTAACAGTCTCCAACTAAATGACAAGTCAATAATGAAAACTGGACCATGCCATCACCTAAATTTAACGTTACGTTACCTATGAACCAATAAATGGTTATCTAATCATTGTAGATATGAAACCAGCAAACATTTTGTACACTAAACAGTTGTAGTAATGTACTTAAGTATTCATGATGAAGACAATTAAAGCATTTATCATCTTGATCTGCTCCTTTGATTAGGACTCTCAAACAAAACGACCTGTAGACTAACTTTTCGGATCAATCTAATTAAAATAACTGGTTGAACTAAAGCCTGTATTTACCTTCCATGGCGCTCACAGTTGAAAGCACGGAGTTTGGATGTGGTTCGGGTGGCTGTGAAGCTACAGCTTCTGGTAGGTCTTCAGGCAGTCTCCCACCACAGGACGGACAGAATCTGAAACCAGGCTGTACCTTTGAGCCACACTGAGGACAGAAGTTCAGCATTGTGATGGCGAATTAGACGGGCTGGGTGGAAATGCCCCTCGGCAAAAAGTTCTGAGAGTCAGGACCAGAAGGAAAGCTCCTCCAACGATGTTTCCAAATGTTGTGACTGCGGAATCAGCCTCCTACAGACGTCCCACGGACTGTTGCGACCGAAGCGCTGTAACGGACACAAGTCACGTGATCATTTGCAGCTGACCTATTACGCCAGGTGACAAGGCCCAGAATTCTTCTTCTTCTTCCGTTTTTTGGCGTGTCACATCCTGTGTGCATATCGCCACCTACTTTTGCTGTTATGCAGTCATGGTTGATTTATGATCAATGTATTCCTTGTTTTTGCTTTTCCTGTTCTTACACACGTATATACACAACTATTCCTACTTAAATAATTATTCGATGCTCCATCCCATTCCTTCTCCCCAGGCTCCACCTGGCGCTGCGTGTTCAGCTCCTCCAGACTAAATCCGTGGTCTCCTGAAGATCCAGAATAGAATAGAGCATCCGCATTCTATATTTAAATCCTTTCACTTAACCCAGTAGTATATATGTATTTTATTAATATCCTGTATCCTTCTCTGTCTCTGTTAAACTCATAGCCTAATAAGTATTCAAATCCTTATTTACCTTTTTTGTTTAAATATGATATTAGTTCCTTTCTTTCTTCATCATACCTTGTACAATTATATATTACATGCTTCACTGTTTCTTTCTCCCCACAGTTCCCACATAGACCAGTCTTATGTACTCCAGTTATGAACAGTGACGCGTTCAATCCAGTGTCCAAGTCTAGTTATTATAACCTCTTCTTTTCTATTTCTACCACTTACGCTTCTTTGAGGGGAAAAAAAGGAGGGGTGAGGCATATCTGGAACCTTAACAAGACAGAGAGTGTTTTCTAACAGTACCTTAAAGGTACATATTAGTACCTAAAGTGTAATTATTAGTACCTAAAAGGTACAAAAATTTACCTTTTGAAAAGGTACCGCCCCAGTGACAGCTGTTGTACCTTTTTTTCTGAGAGTGTATATACTTATTTACATTATACTTAATACTACCCATTTCCTGCCATTCTCTTTTCTTATCCAGTATCTCTAGATCAATTTTAACATCAGGAATTTGGCACCTCTCCCCATACAGGTGACACACTACCTTCTATATTTGTTATCTGATATTTCTCTGCTAACTGATTTATATTCCATCCATATCCTCTCCCTTTGTTATTTGAGTATTTCCAGCAATTATTTAAAATATCTTTAGCTATATGTTTTCCAGAATTACTCTTTAAAGACAACCAATATACCAAAGACAATTTAACTCTCCTCAAACTCAATGGCATTTCATTTGCCTCTACTAATAACGCATTTACTGGTGTTGTTTTAGTTGCTCCTAAGCATATTCTAAGAGCTCTATACTGTATCCTATCTAGACTCCTTAATACTGTTTCTGATGCTGAGCCATAAATCATGCATCCGTAATCTATTATAGATCTTATCAAAGCTTGATATATTGTTAACATTGATTCTTTTTCAGCACCCCATTCTTTTCCAGCTATTGCCCTCATCACATTTAAAATCCTCCTGCTTTTTTTTATCTATTTCCTCAACATGTTTTTTCCAGGTATATCTCCCATCTAACCAAATTCCTAGATACTTAAAAACCTTTACTTGTTCTAAAGGTTTTCCATATAATAGTAGTTCAATATCTTTAGAAACTTATTTTTTTCCTACTGAGCAACATATAACATTATTTATTTGTTGACATTTTAAAACTCCATTCTATACTCCATTTTCCCACCTTTTTAATAGCTGATGGCATACTTGAAATCACTTGGGATACATTTCGACCTCTTTTCCAAATAGCACCATTATCAACATATAACGCACATCCCACACCATATCCTAAATTGTCAAAAATATAATTAATCATAATGTTAAAAAGTATTGGACTTATTACACTCCCTTGTGGAATACCATTTTCTGCCTTAAAAACTGATGACTGACACGCTCCTACTTGTACTATAAATGTTCGTAATAAAAACTGAGATAACAAATTATACATTTTACCATCTATTCCTATCCTTGATGCTTTAATTAACAGCCCTTCTCTCCATATTGTGTCATACGCTTTTTCTATATCAAAATATACTACTGTCATAATTTCTTTCATTTTTATTGCCTTCTCTATTTTGTTACTGACTTTATTAATGCATCCATTGTTGATCTTTTACCTCTAAATCCACACTGATATTTACATAATTTACCCTTCTTATCTAACTCATAAGATAATCTATGAACTATTATATTTTCCATTAATTTACATAAGTTTGAAGTTAAAGCAATTGGTCGATAACTTCCTGGGTTTGTTGGATTTTTACCTGGTTTTACAATAGGAATTACTACAGCTTGATTCCATATCTTTGGAAGTATTCCTTCTACCCATATTTTATTATATAACTTAAGTATCATTAATAATACACTATCTGACAGATGCTTTATTATTATATAACTTATCCTGTCACACCCAGGAGCAGTATTGGTACATTTTTGTAGTGCTGTTTTCAGTTCTGTGATAGTAAACTCTGAATCCATACAATTATTATTACTATTTCTCTTTTTCAAAATATTTCTTCTTCTTAATTCATATTCTTCTCCCAATTCTATTCTATGTGCTTTTTCTAAAACCTTACCCAAAATGTTTGCTTTGTTTATATATGTTACTGCCACTGTATCCTCTTCAATTAAAATTGGTATTTGAGTTGACCTTTTCCCTTTCCCACTCATATTTCTTAACATGTTCCATATTTTATCCATAGGAGTATCTTTTCCAATGGTAGAACAAAATTCTCTCCAACCTTCTCTCTTGGCATTCTTAATTATTCTTCTTGTGTTAGCTCTTGCTTTCTTGTATTCCACCAAATTACTTATATTCATATTTTTCCTAAGTTATTTAAATGCCTTATTTCTTTCTTTTATTGCTTTACTGCACTCTTCTTTCCACTATGGAATATTTTTTTTTTCTGTCCCGCAATTCTTTGTGGCATATATTTTGTTGCAGCTTCCATTATTAAATTCGTAATAGAGTTGCAAAATGTACTATATCCAAGGCCCAGAATTAGAGGTCTGCACGTGCTTTAAAGGGGTCATATGTGATGTTGCTAAAAAGAACATTATTTGGTGTAATGAAATGTGTTTATGCAGTTTAAGGTAAAAAAAACATTATTTTCCACATACTGTACATTAGTGTTTCTCCTCTATGCCCCGCCTTTCTGAAACTCGTCGATTTTTACAAAGCTCATCGTTCTGAAAAGCGAGGTGTGCTGTGATTGGCCAGCTATCCAGTGCGTTGTGATTGGCCGAATACCTCAAGCGTGAGACAGAAATGTTACGCCCCTCACATACTGTGATGATGCCCTGTCAGGCCGGAGCGATGATTCAAAAACATGAAAACCCATTATAATTTATAAACGAGGCATTCGTTGCATACAGTGGGGACATAATTATGGATTATAATGACTTATACTGTCTTTTTACACGTTGCGTTGCATCACACCGTGTAAACATAAAACCATGTCTGCATTTGTGATCGGAGAACTGACAAACAACAAGCCCTACTCTACACTGCCCAAAAAAACTCGCTTTAAATATATAAAATACAGGAGTGAGCAGAGGCCGGGGGCTAGAGTGAGCAGAGGCAGCGGGCTTGAGAACGGCGCGGCCAGCGGATTTGACGAAGGAGCATCCGGTGGGCTTGCGGCAACCACATGTGACGACCCCGGGCTGGACTCAACAGCGCAAAGTTGTTGTATTTCCTCAGCAACCAACACAGATCAGCTCCAGGCATGACGAAGCGGATATCGTCCTCTTTTGGAAGACCAAACAAAGTAGTTTCGCTTTCACAACGAATCACACAGTGCCTTCACGACATGGCGGCGGCGGCAACAACAATACTACAGCGAGAATAAAAGTTACGCCTTCTTTCTTTGCGTGAACATTTGGGCGGCGTTATGCAAATCTTCCCACATCGTGATGTAGATATGTGGGGGCGTGTTAGAACGAGCTGTTTTAGGTAGGTGTGGCTGACTCTTAACTTTTATAAAGAATATCTCTTTGGATTTGAGACTTTAGTCTTTGCAAATTTACAGATCTTCTTTATGCACCAAGAGCTTGTAACAGTCCAAAGAGAAAGGAAAAAATTAAATCGCATCACCCCTTTAATGCTGTTTTCACGATTGCATGCAACGGTCAATAAACAAATACATGTAAAGAAACAGAATCATTAAGGCTCGGCCAGTTCACAAGGCAAAAAAAAAGCACGTACCAGTTATGAATGTTTATGAACATCAGGTGCAGCGGTCACATAAATTCTGCCGAGTTTTTGAATGGTTGTATACAAGACGATAATTCTTCCATCGTGCAAATTTTCCTCAGTTAAGGCTCGTTATCATTCGGCCTGCTTTAAATCAGACACAGAGATGCAGTGCGGTAAGATCGCATTTATTTGAATTAATTAATTATATAATTTATTTGAATTAGCGAGAGAGAGAGAGAGATAGAGAGAGAAAGAGAGCTGAAAGTTGCGTGTGTGAACCTGCGTCTGCGCGTCTCTCTCTACAAGTAATGAGGCCTAGTTACTTCAAAAACAGCGATTTTACCCCCTCATTGCAGATAAATATAACGTTGCGAGTCAGTAGCCTGTCGAATCTATTTTACTAATAAAAGATTCCGTGCTGTGTTGTCGTGTGCAAGTACGTCTATGAAAGCAGCGTAGTCTACTGCATATAGTTTTAGCTTAGATATAAACCCGAGCCCGACCCGAACCCGAAGCTATTCATTAAACATGAACCCAAACCCGACCCTGACCCGAGAGTATTTCGCGACCCGTCGGGCTCGGGTCGGGTAACAATCCTCTACCCAGAATGCATTGTTTACCGTTTTTACAGCATGTGCAAGACGAGCAATGTATACAATTGCCTGCATATTTCTTCATACGTTATGGCTTCTGATTAAATGACAGAAAAGTAAGAATTTCTTAATTCCTATATTAATGTGTGGCTTAAGACTTTCTTTTGCTGAACATAATAGATTTTTGAAGATTACTGGAAACCAAACAGCTCTGGTGACAAGCAAGCAAGCAAGAAATTGAAATGACAGAATTTGTATTTGTGGGTGAACTATCCTTTAAATCCTATTTTTTTTCTCTCTATCTACCTTGATCTTTGTGTTTTCAGCCTTTCCATCATTTCACCTACTTTGCTGCCATATCCTCTGAGATGCTAAACTATTTCGTTTTTTTTAAACACCATGCCAGTTTATGTGGCCATTTTCATGATGAAAAAATGTTATGGTAAAACTTAAAAACTGAGTTGAAAATTGTCATCCTGGAATGGCCCATTTGGTAATGGAAAATCTGGTCTCATCGATTTTGAAAATTGATAACTTCTTGATGCTAAACTGAAAAAAATATATACAAAAATAAAATAAAATAAAACAATTTTGGAGGTTCACATTTTTCCAGGGTTTCTGCAGGATTTTTAAGCTCAAATTTAAAACTTTTTAAGACCTGCACAAATAAAATTAATATC